CTTCTTCTTCTTCTTCTCTCTCTCTCTCTCTCTCTCTCTCTCTCTCTCTCTCTCTCTCTTTCTCTCTCTGTCTCTAAATTTTCTTAGATTAAATATAAATTTATCTATGATCATTATTTTTTATATTTTTCAGGTACATTTTTAAAAAAGCAGTTGATATTTTATGTTCCTGTAGACAGACTCTCATGTACACTTATGTTTTTGCTTATTATGTGAAAAAGAACAATCAATCTGTGATTTTTGAGGATAACCAAAAGGATTTAGAGAGTGCCACAGAATGTCTCTCTGAATATCTCGAAAGGGATATTACAAGTGAAAATTTGGCAGACATTAAACAGAAAGTTCAAGATAAATATAGGTAAAGATTATGCATATTTAAGACTCCAGTTGCTTCATTGTAGCCATCTTGAATTGTGACGTCAAAATCGAGAAAGTACACGATAAGAATTTAAAAAATCAAGGAATCACAAGCTAATTCAAAAATAGATTATTATATATTATATTTTCCAAATATGTATATCAGTTGCAAATGTTTTATTGAAAACTAATTCTATTTTAACGTATTTTAAAAGAATTTTTGTCATATTTTCTCGCTTCTGATTGTCGCAATTCAAAATAACTGCAGTAAATCAACAGGAATTTTAAGAAATGATATATTTGCTAATGAACTTTTTAAGATAATGTTTACATTTTTTTTTTTTTTTTAAGATACTGCGATAGTCGGAGAAAAGTGCTTTTAGAACATGTCCATGAAGGATATGAGAAAGAATGGTGGGATTACAAGGAATAGAGGATCTTTACTAGTTTCATTTCTTGGGGTGACACGCAAGTTCTCTTCCTTCCCACCTCGACCCCAGCTGTGATAAACCAAGAAAGAATATTAACAAGAAACAAAAATAGAGCATGTCACAAAGTGATAAACGTGTTATATGCACTTTATATATAATATGCTCTGTGGCAACACGTATATATCGTCTATTGATAAATATTGAACTCGAACTATTAAAATTTAATCCGATCATCAATAAGTTGATTGGATAATATTTTGATTTGCGCTTGCTGTGTGTTGTACATCATTGTAGATTCTTGATCCTTGATACAAAATGCCCTGTTATTTTAGGTAATCCTAAAGAAAATTAGTTGTATTCGTTAAGACGAACAAGACGTGCGTCATAAATCGCAACGATGCTTAATAATGTGTTGCGATGTAAAATGACGATTAAAAATCTGCTATTTTATTTAACATATTTTACCGATGTTAATCGTATTGAAAGCTTTTCAATCCTAAGGACTCATTTTCTTCCCGTTAGTTTTAAGGATAACTGTTTAAAATAAGTCAAACATGATACAAACAAATCATCGGAATTGTTTTATTCTATTTTGGACCACGATACGTCCAGGCTACAACTGCCAATGTTTAAGAATACTAAATTATCTATATACATGTCGTCAGTGCTATGTATTCATATTTAATAGTGTATAATAGAACTTTTCTCATTGGTACTTGCGTATTGTTTCAAGTAAGCTAGGAACACTTAAATACAAAATCTCGCAATATTTAAAATATAATATAGCCATTATTTCTTCTCTTTTATATATATATATATATTTTACTTATTCTTTTTATAGATAAAAAAAACATTTTTACATATGATTTTGGTTAGTTACTCATACTGACGTTATGCAGATTAAAGGGGGCCAAGTTTGTGATATCTTTCACATGTACATACATATTCCATCTCTGCATGTAAAAGTAGAACACACTACAATTGCCAACTTTAAAAAAAATATTTATTTATTTTCTTATTAATGTTTATTAATATTTTTATTTCTTTCTTTTCTTTTTGAAAATTTAATATTTTGTACGCGATAAATTATATGTTTTTATCTTGCACGCTTATAGCATTATGTCTCGATTATGCATATCTGATTTAAGTATTTTTCTATGTATGTAATTAATATTTATATATATATGTATATAGCGGATGATGACACAAGTTATATGATTAATTAAAATAGTGATTCTTAGTGATCTGAGCTAAATTTTATTCATCTATTTTTTAATTGGGAATATTTTTATTATTTTTTCTGGTCATTATCTCGTTATCATTGTTTGTTATCTTTTATCTTTTATTTAAACCGACTGCTATTTGCATAACGCTGACGATATGTTTTATTAGGTAATTGATTAAAGGTTGATGAATAAAGTAATTACTTATCATTGTCAATATAAGTGGCAGACAAAATGAACTTTTTCCATTTGTACAGTTAATATAGAGTATATATATTCACATATAAATGCATAATACTTAAACATAATAATATCGATAATAGCGGAGTAAAAAATTTTGAAAATTTATTAACTGAAATTGTTGATTCTTGCTATGCACATTAGGGTCTGAAATAAAGGTTTGAAACGCAGTTGTTTTCTGTACAGTCAAAATTTGATTAGATTTAAGGAAATTGTTAGATATACTCGCCAGACGTTTTCCTTCTAGTTTGTGATTTTATAATCTATATTCATATTCCTAATTCGCAAACCACAATATATCTAAAGAATTTATGATCCTGTATAAAAATAAAATTCGTAAATGTTCCGAATTTCTTGTACATGAACTTGAACTTCTAGGCCAAGTCTTCGTGTTCACGAAAATGTATGGTATATATGAAGTTAAAACGTTTAGCTGTCAAACTGTCAAACATATCCGAGAAAGCACCATAGGCAGACATCTAACTGCATTTTAATTGAAATAGATTGCAAACTCGTTTTTAAGATTTCATTATCCATTCATTTTCGATATTTATGGGTATTCCAATGACAAAACGTATGTACACAATAATAAAAGAAACTATTTTACTAGTAAAGTGTAATATATATATATGTAGAAAAGAAACCGATAACTTTACTTTTGTAGCTATAAATCACACAGTACATACATTAACATACATTATCATCTTTATCGGATCTTTATAAGGATAAAGTTTTTTGATCATTGTTCGGTGTTGCCTTTTGTTAACGTAATTACAAATATATAATATTGTATATTGTAAATACTGCAATATATATATATATATATACACACACACACATACACACACACATCCATCCACATATATACATACGTACACTGTAAATCTTAAGTGATTTAGATCTCAGTAGTTCCATGAATATGAGAATATGTACGAGATTTCGATGCTGAAAATAACAGTTAATATATTTCCTTGGCAGAAATGTATTCTTTTTGGTTATAAGAAATAAAGAGAGGCAAATTATTATCCCAGCATCCTACTATACAATATACTTATTATATATTTTAAAGTTTATGTAGTTTAAATTGTTTTTATAATCGTTTCAAGGAATTCAAGGAATTTAAGTCAGAATTTTAATATGTAGTATAGCCTCTTTTTAAACAGGCATGTTATTTAAACTAAATTATCTGCACGCAAAGGAATTGAATTGCTATTTATGATATTTGAACTATATTGATTTGTATCGCAACATATTCTGCGGAAAAGAATGGCATTCCTTATTTGCAAGCCTATTGATATGAATGAAATGTCGAATGTCAATTTCTTTTATTATTCTTCATTAATCGAGGTTTTAGATTACGGATTATTGGATATGATTAAAAGGATTGTGTTTACTGTAGAAATGATAGTTATTTTACATGAAGTTAGGATTTTTGATTATTTGCAAACATATATACATCGAAAGTATGTTGCTTATAGTATTTCGTAATATTAAAACTGATCCCCTTTGTCTCACAATATATAACAGTATATTAAAACATCACTTATAATTTATGATACATTAAATCCTCTAACGATGTTGACTCGATGTCCTCCAAAAAAACAAAAGTACTTACGTCATTTAAATAAGTCTTTGCATTATTTTATGAGCGGTTTTATTTGTAAAAGGATTAATTGTTTCATAAACCTATATTTAAATTTGCATAACAATAACTTGTGCTCTACCCTGTAACTTTCCATTGATAGCACGGTACTTGATAATGTACGAAAAATTATTCATTTCAGCAAACACGAATAATTCATGTATATATTTTATACTAACAGGTACAAAAAAATTAGATTCCATCTTTTCTCAGAATTGATAAAGATTGATAAACTAATTATGTTCATAATATGTATTTTTATATCTTTTCTATTTTTTTCTCTTGTTTCAATAATGATTGTAGGAGAAGGATCGTTATTTTATAAAAGTATTTATTCTGAATATGCATATAAAATTTTTGCGAGTGTAAATAGAATATATCAACATATAAAAAAGTAGCCATTATTTGAATATACATTATGGTTTTCGAAAACCATCGTTTTCTTTTTCATATTACATATATTCCTTAAAGTTTAAAAGTGTATGATTGCGATCGGGTCTCTGACCAAAGATATTCGAAAAAATTTATTATTTAATATATTCTCTACCTAAAATAAATTATAAATAAATAGATTGCGTCTACCTAAATTCAATACAATTTCGAGATTCTTATTTCGTTTGTAAATTTTTACAAATTTCTTCAATTTTGAGTATTATTATTCGGAATTGCTTTAATATAAAACGTCTATTATTAGAATTATATAAATAAGATATTCTAATAATTTCACTAGTCTGTTATAAGGTATTGTAATAGGAAACTAGCGTCATTGTCTGTCGCTCATGCTATGTATGTTCACTGGAGTTATATAAAAAGTAGGATGATTCTAAGCCGAGTGACATTGATATGAAAATTATGTATGTCAACGCGTTGATGTATCTTTTGTTAATCTTGAATGTTTTTCGTATAGACGTAGCAAGCGCTCCGTTTGAATCGAATCGTTCCGATGTCCGTGTAAAATGTTGTAACATTGTGCGTACGCTACAGAAATCTATTTACAATTTCTTTCGAGCGCGTTCTTAAAGAACGTAAGTACGCGAGAGCTTCTTGGACAAAACGTACTCAGGTCATATGGTCCGGTGAGGCCCCATCAGGAAGTTACCGACAAAATCGTGGCGACCAAGCCAAGAGTGGCTCCTGTCATTAATAAACTCCGCCAAACCGCTCCGCTAATTTCTTCGGCAACGGGATACTCGACACACAGCTGTTCCTGCAAAGCGACAACACCAGGTTTGTATATTTTATACGAGGTGTATATTATATGTTCCTTACAGTAATTGATAATTTCACGCTCACTTACCCATCCACCGTAGCCCTTGATGAAATGTGTTATGTTTTCACCAACGTATCTAGAGACATATAACGGCAGTTTCTTTTTGAGACTATGCATTCTTCTGTCCCTGGCCCATAAAGCTAATCTACCCATGAAAGCATATAAACAGACAATCCTGGCCCATGTGATAACATCGTGTAAGAACAACTCGTTGGCGACTCCCACAAATGTTTCGTAAGCAGTATCCGGGACGACGTTTAAACGATTTACCATACTCGTAAAAAGAATGCTGTGCTTGTTGAGCATTTGATACACATTGTGCCTCATACTACGTGAGACTGGATCCTGCGATATAAGATAGATATCCTCCTTCAATAAGTACCGTATTACATCATTGGCCAGGATCTGCGCGGTCGATTCTATGGAGTCGTCGTGGATATTGTAATAACGTGGAGGTGGACCCAATTGTGGAAAGAGATATTGAAATCGAATCTGGAAGGCAAGATACCACGTGAACTACGAGTCAGACTTTTTTTTTTACAATCATCACGGGAATTAGATCGTGTAACGCGGAATTAAGTGCACGACCGAGACGAATAAATGTTTTCTGGGTTTCGAAAATCACGGATACTAGACAATCGAGCTGGCGCGAGTCGATCGACGGACCGTTCACCGACAGTATACGATACCTCGAAGAAAGACATAGCGCGGTTAGCAACGCCGACCGCATATCGGCAGATACCGTCCTCGTTGTCGGCAGCAGCAGCAGCAGCGGCAGTGGCAGCGGCGGTGACGGTGGCGGTGGCGGTGGCGGTGATGGCGGTGGTGGCGGCTCGCTCGTTCGACGAATTCCTGTTACCGGAGGGATCGCATTCCAGAATGCCGCCCACTCTGGAATGCAGTTCCCTTCGCGCTGACGTTCCCTGCCCCTCATCCCCACTCTTCTCGCCGAGGATCTCATTGTTCGTCGTCGTCCCGTTGTCCTCGCCGGCCATCCTCTTCTCCCGAACGGACCGAGCGAGGAACCGTTTCCCACGGGAGACTTCCCACCACTCTCCGTCACTAGCGTCGAGGATCGTTTCCGTTTCCAACGTCGTCTCGTTCGCAGGTCTGACGTCGGTGTGACGCGCCGCTCTTCACATCTCACGCTGGTCTCCGAGATCGTCTGGTGCGTGAATCGATCGCGCGCGCGCCTCCGCGCGCCCTCGAAATGCGGCCGGATAAACGAGCCCGCGGTGTCCCGAAAACTTGGAGCACACGATCGACCGACCGATCCGACCCGGCCAACCAACCAACCTGCCTGTCTGCCTGCCTGCCTGCCTGCCAGCCAGTCAGCGACGAACGCTCCGCTCTCTACTTTCCCGCGGCCATTTCCGAAGTCGAGAAGCCGAAACCGCGCCGCGCCGCGCCGCGCCGCGCCGTGCCGTGCCGTTTCCTCCGCTTCGCTCCGCGTCTCGCACCTAACTTCCACCGTACCGCTCCCTCGGCCTGCCTGCCTGCTTGCCTGCCTGCCAGCCTGCCGATGCCGCCAACCAGCCCCGAGACCCACGAATGTTTCACATCACTACCACTACCGCTTATCTTGAGACTCTACCCCACCGCGTCGCGTAGTGCCAAGTACTGTATGACGTAGCTCAGGGTTTCTCAACATCGACGGTTCGATCTGTCCGCCGAAAGCTGATCTGTCAAGCAGTGCTCTCCATTTGACGACGCATTGGACTCTGACAAATCGATTAACGACAGCGATTTCACATATTGGAACTGAAAGATATTACAATAATCGCCACAAAATTTATATTAAACAAGCGTCAGACTATGCCACGATTCACGACTTTCAATTTGCTACTCGCAACAGATTCACAGGAATCGTTCGTCATCGTTTATCGCTAAGAACTCTCCATTATTATTTCAATTTTATAATTCATCATTTACATAATGCAGTTCGATACACGACTCTCGATTGACCTGATTGATTCGTGTCCTTTGACCGCAAGAAATCGCTTCGTAGGCGACCGACGCAAAATGAATGCGAATTTGAGGAATTTGAAATACCTCGAAATACCTATCGTTTCTTATATCGTTTCTTAAAACATTGTAGAAGAATCTGCCTTTTCGCGTGAATTTACGAATAGCAAACTGCATAATTTGATCGTGCCAGATTTTACGCGGATTCGATCGTGTACGATCGAGAACCCCTGGCGCGAGCGCAGAGCAGCGCCGGGCGATCGCCGACGGCACTCTCACGGGCGCAGCGCGCGCTACACCGTCGCACACCATCGCGCCGACTCTCTATGGATCATTCACGTTTCCGCCCCACCACCGCGCCGCCCCGACACGTGCACCGTATGCATACACACGCGGACGTCGCATGCCTATGTATCGGTGCGCGGCCGTCTCGGTCTCGGTCCCTCCTTTGCGGAACGCTCGCCGATAACTTCAACCCTCTCTAGCGGGAGCGCTCGCGCGCAGGAGGAGTGCAAGCGGGTTTACCTGCGCTGTGGATGTACTTGTGTGAACGGCGGAGGAATGGAATTTTCGATGGAACGCGCGGAGTTCGTTCGAGGGAACTCGGTGCGCGATCATTATCCCGGTCGAGAAAGGATTTTGAGAATCGACGTGAGATTTTGAGAAAGTTTGAATGAAGAACGCGAGATTCTTTGTTAGAACGCGTCGAGTGACACCTGAGAATTGCGTTCACACGAGCTGTAGGCTCGGGCTATTGCGAGCGTCGCGACAGTATTTCTTTCGCTCCTCGAGCTACCGCTTGCGCAACCGTTGAGAAATTTGTATTCATTCAGCTTTTCCGTGCGCGCGCCCCTCCTCTCCCCTCTACCGCCTGAATTCCTTAGAGGATTGCATGCACGCGCGTGCGCGCGCGCGCGTATACGCATACCCACGAGAGATGCATTATTCGTTGTAGCGACGCGGAGAAACGTGGTGAAAGTCTCGGCCGCAGTTACCGTAGACCCCGCAAGTAATCGAAATTGTCTACAATGAAGTTAGTTGAGAATTTCCTATTTGAGGTGATTTAATCTGCAAGCGAAGCGAATATATTCGAATATTGAAAATGGAGCGATTCTCCGCACTTTGAATAGAATTCGAATTGATGCTAATCTATGGTAGATTTTTCATACATTCCGCGTATACAAGCCGCGATTTGATTTCGGTCATGTAACTTTTCTCTGGAAACGTATGAAAAAATGAAAATTTTCTCTATTGAAGATAATGGAAAAAATTTTCACGTTTCCGTCCTAGGGAAAAGGTTACATGACTGACTGGCTCAGAATCTATAACGCGACTAAATCCGCGAAACAATGGGACGACGTGGGATATATTTGGTAAACGCAAGCCCGCGAGCGCGGGCCACAGCGGTACATTTCCACGAAAGGATTATACTGAAACTGGTCCGCGTTGTCAGCGCGGACCAGTGACGTAACCAGGTGAGCGGGCACCCGTGTCGGGGTTATCAATGAATCGACAAAGATATGCGCGGAACCCGCATTCCTTTCGCGCGCGGCGAGCCGCTCGGCCGATACCTTTCCACGTATCTTTTCTCCAGCTGTAAATGGGAAAGTTCCTGACCGGAAAGTTTCAGACCGTAGATGCAGGATTCCACGTACAACTTGAACATGTCTTACGGTTCATCCATGCGCGCATTTGTCGTCGAGATCTCCTCTCTCTCTTTCTCTCCTTTCTCTCTCCCCCGCAAAGTTTCCCCCTAATTTCTTTTCCCCTAATTACATTCCTGCCCGCCTCTCTGCCCGCCGCGGCGCGCGGAGACCGTGCCCACCACTCCTTTCTGCCGGCAGTGCAACCTTCAAAGGCCACTGAATGCGTCCATGAATGAAGTAGGAAAGTTGCTGGAGTACAGATCGGCCGGATGTGCGTATACTAGGTGGGTAAGAAAACGAGAGCCCGTCGCCGCCGCCGTCGCGACTCTCTACGTCAGAGGGCCGCGCCGCATGTCGATCAGAACCAGTTTCAGATCGCTGCCGGTGATCCGGACTAATGGTACCGTATCCGCGATCGTTTTCCGCCACTTTACACAGATACGGCTTAGCTCCAGAACGGACTGGCGCTCGTGCCGTTTTATTTTAATCACGATAAAACGAGCCCGATTCCGGAACTAGTTCACGACGGAGAAAGAGAAATAATCTCCGGCGACGTAATCGCGATGTGACAGTCGCATCTACAGATTTTATGCGTTTGCGATTTTTTTTTTTACCACATCGATCCACAAAGTTTAGGAATCGTTCGGGGAAATCGCTGGCTGCGCTAATGCGATGCGGAATGTTTTTCTCGACTAAGCCCTTCTCACGTCGCAAAGTTGGGTAGCGGCGCGCCGAAAACGTTGAAATATCGCCACCGGACGCGAACAAATTGACGAAGTGAGTCATGAGCGTAAATGAGATTTGATAGGACCAAATTATTTCCGTGTGTCGCTTCTTGGAGCGACGGTAAACTACGGATCGGAGAGAGCGGGCGGGCGGGAGGGAAATCCCGCCGCGTGTGGACGACGACTCTTTCATGGAGGGTCACACGCCACGTTACTGCGATAAATTATTATTATACAATAGTCGCTTTTGAATTGACACGACGTGCGTGCGCCGATTTTCGCTGCGTGGAACGAACCGTGGGAATACGATGGCGCGAGTGAACGGCGCGCAATATTTCAGGGGAACTCGCGTGGCGACCGCCTGCCTCCCGGTAAGCGTTTCTTACCGTCATTCATGATACTACAGTCCGGCAATAGGATGATTGCTTGACGGTCGGTGACTAAAGTGGATAAAGCCTTCTACAGCAATCTAACACGAGCCAGGATGCAGGAGCGCAAAGGCTGGGTCCATTCACAATTCTCTCTCTCTCTCTCTCTCTCTCTCTCTTGCTTCTTCTTCATTTTTTTTCTTTTTTACACCGGTACCGCGAATCGTTCTTGCGTCTCGCGTGAACCATTCGATGCTAATCGGCCGTTTGCACCGAAACGCTTCCAAGGATCCACCGCACAAATCACCTCGATCCAACCAACGTTCTCGGCTATAGACGTATTTATTCCCCAAATTCGTTCTCTCGGGAAACACTTTCTCTTAATCGCCCGCGGACAAATGACACGCGAACAACGGAAATTTTCAATTGTAGCCGAGATGCGCGGTAATAGAATCTAGTCCTCCCGATTTCGACGTCCCTGGGATGGCCGGTAGTACTAACCCTGCTGAAAGATTGGCAGACATACTCACCGCGAACTGACCCCTCTGTGATTTAGTTACGTCTCTATGGACGCGTCGCCAAGTCGCGCGTGTTTGACACCATCGTAGAAAGTAGAAGTGACGACTATCGCGCTGACAGGGTTCGATCAGGCCGTCCGCTCGCATCTCCTTTTCGCTGAATGAGCTTCCGCTGCTTCGAAATCGTCCCGTTTCAAGATATTATGATTAGGTGAGTCCGTCACTCGTAGCTCAGGTATTCCGCGATGAAATCCCGGAATCATCGAGACGTATCTGATGAGAAACACGGTTTTACGGATCGAGTCTTGAATGAGAAAGCCATTTTGCTGTTTGCAAAAAAGCGCTGTGCTCATATCGACAATTAAATTTATTTTACAAATTTGAAACAGAAAATAAATATTAATACTTTTTGAAACAAAAAGTGATTTAAAATATCCATCAGTTTCCCATCAAAAATTATCCCGCTTTTCTCCTCGTTAATACTTTCGCATATGTCTAGTTACATTTCTGAAGATACCGTCTGACGTTTACGTTTATTTTTATTTGACTGTATGTTCTTTTTAATCTTTATCATAAATGTTACTTTCACGGCAAAAGGTGAAACATTTTCTCCTCTCAACGCTGCAATTTTAATAACAATTCGACGCGAATGTCAGGCTAATAATAAAACAATTACGTTGATCGCTATCTACTCCGGTCTCTAGATATACGATTAAATATGTAATCAACTGTCTAAATATTTGTTATTTAGAAATTTAATTCGCCGCGGTTATCTGCGAAAAAAGCGCGAGCAGATTAGAGGACAAAGTCCGAGGACAAAGGCACGGTGATGGCGATCTTGGTGCGCGGGCGCGAGCAACGATTTCCCTCCGCGAGCTTGCGCGAGGAGAGGAGGCGATCGCCTCCTCTCCTCGCGCAGATCGCGCCTCTTCTTCGCCGTGCCAGGAATTTCCTGCACCTACTCTCGGAGTAACCACGCCGATACCCACGCGATGGTACGGTCCGGTCACTTACGCGACGCTCGCTCGATCCGCAACACGTTTTTGCATCGCTTGCCGGTTGATTGCCCCTCGAGCATGCCGATGATGACGTCAGCATTCTGGATGAGTCATGCGTTTAATTCGCGCAGCACGAGCTAACATATATACGTACGATCGTATGCGCGCATAATTTGGCCCGCGTCGCGGAGAAATACGAGAGAACCGACGGCGTCTACATCTCAGAGGACATCCTCCCCTCGGAGGAGCGTCCGTTTCCCCTGTGACGCTATCTGAATGTATATCGCCTGAGAGATATCCTGCTCTCTGGCAGGAACTCCGAAAGATATACGGCCGCTTTTATCACGACAGGTGATTTTTCATTTGCACCTCTGAAACGCGCGCTGAGATATATAACGCGGATAGAAAACTTCTGTCCGTTTTCAGGATTTCAGACAACTAATGAGAATCGCGCGATTAGATCTAGTCCGATCTAGTTAAATTGCACATTGATCGATCGCATCGGCCGATCCGGAATATATAGAAGAATAAGCGCGATGAGTGTTACAATTAATTCATACTTATTTTTGTAAAGAATCCAATTACCATGAATGTTGTTATCATGTATGATTGTATATATATCTCTCTCTTTTTTACTCCTTCTTTCCTTTGCCCCTCTTTACGTGCGTCTTTATACGTACTTTTAAATAAGACGACGGTATCAATCCGTACGCACCGTTTCCCGTGCGCATGAAATCAACAAGGACAGACGCTGTTGATTGCACACATGTATAATATCGCTATCTATTATATAACGCCATCATAAATAGTCACCTTTACATCGCAAATTTAGTTCTCCTTCCGATCCTATGTTGCGCCTGTGATATAATTTCAGAGATTTCGTAGGGACATCGATTTTGTAATGAATTTTAGAAAGGCGCACAGAAGACGCAGAAGTTTAAGGGGAACAAAGTTGTGATGATTGAATGCATACGTTCAATAATCCGATGATGAAAACCATATGGCAACATCTGTGCAATCAATTACGCGATCGTCGTATATCAATCGGCATTAACGTGACTACCACGATAAACAATCGTGACGTGATTTTCAGTTGGTTTTTGTCGCTGATGCAGTGGTAATATTTAATTCCAGTCTGGAAATTTTCGATAAGATTATGCATTTTCGCACGCCAACTTAACTTTATCAAACGAATCTGAGGTAAACGCCGATTGAGAAAGATGATAAAAGATCGCGGACTGAACGATGAAGAATCGTTTGCCGAACGCGTTTCAAAGTACGAAAGAGAATCCCCTGGTGATCATTCCTCGGCGCTATACTTTTGAATGACGATTACAGTTACAGAAATGTGATTCATAAAAGCGAGAGTCAAAGAGTAACTTGAGAAGCTGAGCTCTTCGGTTTAGCGCTGTGGTAAGACATACGACAAATACTCGCGCAATTATCGCGATTTCCTTCCTCCGGTATGAATTTCTCATATCAACATACAGTTTTTTTTTTACAGTCGGTAAACATAGATGATTAATGCCGCTACTGCGCACACGCAATTAAAAATTACGTATTTTCCCTAGAAGTTTATTTCGTTCTTGCATCTTTTTTTCCGTTCCTACAAATCGATCGAATGACATTCGTACGTATTTCGGACGCGCCGTATAATTTCGACGAGAAAATAAATAAAATTTCAGATGACGATCTTTACAGGATTCGGTAAGTAAGTAAAAGTTAAAAGTTAACTAGTAAAGTTAAAAAGTTAATAATTTTCAATTTAAATTAGTTAATTTTAAATGAATCAATTTATAACTTTGACTAGTTATTTTTAAAACAGATAAACTTTAATTCATTAATTTTTTTCCTAAGTTAAAAATTTACCTGTGAAAAAGAAAAAATTATAAAAAAAGAAATGCATTTCTATTTAAAAAAAACAATTTTTTTTGTTATTTCATACTTTCAAACTTAATTTACAAATAAAATATTAAATATTAAATTGATTTAATGATATTTAGTTGTAATTGTTTTATTATTTAGAATATTTTAATTTTAAAAATTACGGTAATTTAATATAATGCTTTTTAATATAATACTTTTCAAAATTAACTTTTAATTCAACTTAAGTTAATTTAATTTTAACATAACTTTTAACTGAATTAATTTCTTGTTCATATTACTTTTAACGTAACTAAATTAATTTTATAAGCCATTAACTTAATTTAGTTAAAAAATAATATTAACTTATCCAACTCTGACGCTTTCGTAATTGTTTCGTGCGAATCCTCGCGTGTGATTCGTACGATTGATAAATTCTCTTTCCCTCGAGATTGGACCGTACGCGTAAAAGTGCGAGATGTGCAATAAAAAGTAAAGGTGAAATAATTAGCACGGTTCTGACATCCAGAGTAAATATAGGAGGTAATCATCTAATCGGGCGTTATCAATGATTTATTTCGGTCTTTCTATTTGTGGCGTTCGGTTAACTGACGGCGTAGTTTACCCGAGAATCGAAAGGAGCGAAAACACAATGTAAGTATCACCATGCATGCGTGATGTGCACTTAATGATAATGAACATAATCCCCGGCTAACACGTTACGTCAAATCAATCCGTGAGAAACTGTGCGTAGGAAAATTTCTGTGAGTTGTAATTCTTCGTTAACTTCGTCAGCTCTGACGAATACTCCAGAAAGAAATCTCTCGAAACGAGAAAGAAATAGAATCGAGATGAGAGACGCGGTACGGTAGTTTTAATGGCACTCACTCCCGGTGTGATTACTCGTCAGGGCAAACAAAGGAGATTCGACGAAAGCAAATGAAGACATTAAATCTCCCAAGTGTTAATTTATCGATACGGCGTTTATCGTAGAAATACACACACACACACACACACACACACACACACACACACACACACACCGTACGCGCGATGGCATCGCGTTGACACACGCATGTTACACCGCGTGTGGCAATACATCGAGAGGAGACGCGTGAACGTGAAATATCTTCGCGAGATGTAAAGATTGCGCAAGAGGACAAAAGATTGGAGACATAAAATTAAGACGTTAAACGCGGCCCGTCACGCACGGACATCCACGCGCGTGGAACTACGCACGTTTCGTTTCGTCAACCGGAGCAAGTGCAATGATGCCGAAGTGACGTTGCCACTTGGGGTGGCACACTTTTATCGTCCGAACAAAAATCCAACGAAATTGTCGACGAGCCCTTCTCATCGAGAGTTAACGGCGCCGTTCGCCGTTATTGACGCTTCGTATTTCCAGAGTAAAGAATTCACGAATCGCGAACTCCTCTTTTCTCTTACTTCCGACCAGATATGACACTACGCTTAATAGGAATCATTCTGCTGTGTATTTTACTGATATCAGAGTGGGGAGGGATCCTGATGTGTCTTAGCGCCACCCTATATAAACCCCGTGATTTCTCGTCGTTGGTAGTTCCCCCAATTCGGGCGAACACTTCACGAAGCTTGGCAACTCTTACACCGTAAGTTTCATCTTATTGCTCATGGTCGTTATTCTTAGTTTTATACGATAGATACGTTTTTATCAGTCAGTTTTACATAATAGATGTATCAGCGAACGATAAAATCAAGGATTCTCAAACAGTTGACGAACCTTCTAAATCAGAAAAATCATTTCCAAGTAATGGATTTTTATAATAACCGCGATTAATAAAATTTAAGTGCTAGAATATTTATTACAATTTTTTACAATTTATTGCAATTATAACGAAAATATACGTTTAAAAAATTATTCAAAAATTATCAATTACATCAAAACTTGAATTGTAAAATTCAAAATTCAATTCTTTTGTTAATATTAAAAAAAATATTAAAAAAAATTTTTTATTAAAATAGAAATGCAAGTGCTTAGAATCTTAAATTTTTAAGTCGGAAGAACATGTTAACACTGATTAGAATCGAGACATAGCCAATAATACACGCGGTGAATAATACTTTTCCAATGAAATCACTCTTTATCAGCAAAATCAATAAAGTACAGTCTGTAAGACGGATCGAAAATATTGACAGTTAGTTTTGTCCCATTTATTCGTAGCTTTGGGGACCAACCTCGGCTGCGTTTACGTCGACCGTTTGTGCGAATGGGAGGGGGAGGGGGCGTTTCAGGAGGAAACCTCTTGTTTAGCATGAAAATCTAAAAATGTCCAGCAAACAAAGTTGCCACGCCGAAGAATCGCGTCATATGACTCTCTCGGGGCGACAATGCAGACGATTCATTTCTTTAAGTTATAACCGGTTGAAACCGCCGTCACAGTTTACTCCCTGGCGTTTTACGTAACCGGTTGAAACCGCTCTCCGAAGATCTTGATATCGTTTCGCGGAGGGTTGAGACTACGGCTCGCGATAATAATTCGTTCGAAATGAATTATACGCGCGCGTGACAATGCACTCCCGACACGCTTGTCATTCACATCCTTTTGCTTCTGCATTCGAATGCCTTGATCTTATGGATATCAGGTCGCAGCGTGCGATATTTTTATGCCAACCTTCGATCTCGCCGAGGAGTAGTGATCCTTGCTCCAGTCCACGGCGAGGTCGGTACCAGCTGTCCGATTACGGTTGTGCGTACACCACTCGCGCCGGTCATTCTTAATTCTTCTTTTTTTTTTTTTTTTCTAAAGCGCGACACCTTGACGGCTAATAATTGGCGGTATTGATCCGGCAAATAAACTCGCTTGCTCGAAAAATTTCCAAGCTCCTGGGAGCTTAGCCCCGCGAAGGATATACGCCCATCCTTGCACGTATGCCACCGTCCTCCGCCCCCTCCAGCGCACCGCAGTCGGAAACGATGACCACTACCGCCGACGAGTATATTGGTCCATATTAGTGGGAGGTAGCAGGTAGTTCTCTTTTAGCGTTACAACGCTCCGACACTCATTTCGTCCGCAAGCATCGCGGGTCAAGCATCATTGACGACACAAATGCTGACTTTGCGACTCGTCTCACTCGCGAGTTAGGAACGCGACGAGCGTTAAAAAAAAGCCCAGCAGCCGAAATCCCGCTCTCCGTGGTCCACACGCGTGATCTTGCGAATGCATCCAAGTGCGTCCTCGCGTCGGCAATCGGGGAACACGTCGCGAGTATCGCCGGTCAAATTATTGTCCATGTTGTCACGCTGCGACAACACTCAACACATATCATTCGAATTGGCATCCTGTGCTGGCCGGCAAGTAACAACGATTCATAATCTTCGTAAAAACAGCTCGCAAAAAGCGAACGTGCGCTACGATGCATTGCCAGGAACATTGAAATGTTTCGCGATCGGCCGTGTTCGAGAAGTAGTTGAGTGAAATAAGATCCCTCTTATATAAAACGACGAAAATTTGTGATCGCAACACATATCGCGGATTCGACATCGATGCGAGAAATATCATCTCTTCAGAAATCCGCAAGCACACTGGAAAAATTGCACGAATCACGATAGAGCTCTTTGATATAGAAAGTATTTGTCAGGAAGAACATCCCATAGACACTTTTTAGGAAAAATATCGCGCGCAAGACTTGATTAAGAAACGTCACGTCAAAGTAAGTTTGAAGAGCGAACATATCGTATCTTTGCTTCAAAAGTGATATATAATTCAAAACATTAATTTCAGAAAAGAAGAAAAAGTATTAGTAATTGTTATAAAATTACTAATTATTATAAGATTAACAATTATTATAAAATTTCATAATTTGTATATTATAAATATAATGTATATAAAAAATTTAATTTAACAAAAAAAACTTTGTTAAATGTAATATAAATAAAAAATTTTTTAAATATGTTAAATTAAATAATTTAAAATATGTAAATTAATTAAATAATTTTTAATATTTATAATGAACTTAAATTATTAATGTAAATTTTACAACTTGACAAAATTATTAATTAATTAAAATTTATGATATTGTTAAAAAGAATATACTTTTAGAAACATGATCAAATGTCATTTTTATTATTTTTCTTTTAATCCTTAAAATCAGCCTTTCTAAGTTGTGATAATTTTGATTTAACACACATAGGAATTGCTTTATTTGTATTATTTTTTTTAAGTTAAATTAGTTTACTTTTAATAATTGATAATGATATTTACCTAACGCATTCATAATAATTTGAAAATCACGTTTTTTTAAATTATGTCACTTTTAAAGCCAGAAATCATCATATTATTATCATTATCAGCAAACATTAAGATATTATTGTCGGAATTCGTAATTTTGAAATTTACTAATGCCCAACTTCCTTTAATTAATAATTAATTAAGTGTAATTCCTCTCTATTTTGTTCTATCGTCCCACGAGCATAAATGAATGAATAAAACATGAATGATGTTTCAAACATTTCGCTTCCTTCCGTCGGCCAACGTGAGATCGACCACAATATTTTTCACTGAGATTGACAATAATTACGAATCACTTGATCTTTCGGTGCAGCCTTCTTTAATGTGCACGTCAATTTGAGCTCTCTATAGAACTCGGACGGGCTTGCGACCTCGTTTCGCCTTCGCGTATTATTAGCATTAAAAATTAGTGTTATTAGCCGAGAAGATGTTGATGTAAAATATAAAAAGACGCAATATGTCTTTTGATATAAGTTTTAGAAACTGTTACTTATCTAAACACAAAACGCTTAATTAATTCTGCAACTTTATCGACGGGAAACGATTGAAATTTCTTTTATATAAAACACTATTTTGTTTGCATCATTATATCATGCATCATCAATTTATGCTCTTGTGTAAAAACTTCATCATTCTTTATGTTAAAAGAAATTAGACTAAGTTTTCAAAACTGGAGATTTATTATATATATTAATTAAAATCAATACATTTTGCTGAAAATAAATTTTAATTTTAATTTTAATTTTAATTTTTAACTTTGTTTTTTTACGATGTTTTTTACGATGTGTATTAATATTTGATTTATTCAATTTTTGTTCAGCGTTTTCCGTAGAAAAATCAATCTTGTCAATAGTGATTAATTATATATAAAAATAAATTATTACAAACTGCATATCTTTATAAGAAAAGACGAAGGAAGTATTTTTTTTAAGCAAATGAATATTTAATAATAATTTATTTATATATTATTATTATATATTAAATGTTTATATATTAAATGTTCATCTGAATAATATTTTTATACATTATTTATTCGTATATACATAAACAATAAAAATTACTTCATAATATTTAATACTTTCATAATATTCTTAATTTAAATGTTAATTATTTCGAAATAACTCGAAATATGTGCCATAATGCACACAATATGAAATATACATCGGATATCTAAATGTGCAAAATACAAGGTTTTCTTTCATAACGTCTATTTTGTATTATTACAGCACTTAATATTCAAAACTTTGAGATAAAGAAGCTAAATCATTTTAATTAAATTTAATTTAATATTTCTTTTCGCTTCCTATTTTTGTGTTTTCAATAATAAATATGCGATGGTTTTATGCATACGATTAATATATTGCAAATCCTTATAATTTGTTGATATTTCAAGACACAAGAAACAAAAAAAGTGATAATAAGATAATTGTTGCAAAGTTAATACTTCGTTATACAAGTATTCAGAAAAAAATCTGAAGTATTAGCAGGCTACAAAAAAACTAATAAAAAACTAAATAAAAAAAACAGATAAAATATGCTTAAACTTTGTGGATTCTTATTTTTCCTGACAGATATTTTTCGCAAGGTAATTCGTAAATAAATTTATATAAACATAATAATAATTTGTAATATCGTGCATCAGATTCTTAGTTATAAGAAGCAGCTCGCAACCTTATTCCATTTTCGCCACACATATAAATGTCGAGTCAATGTTACTCGGGAGGACTTTGTCATATGCAGCTGATTCCTTTCTACCTTTTTAGTCCTTTAGTAGGCTATTTAAAAGGCTATTTAAAAATCTTCATCTGTATTTCAACCTTCGTGTCGCTAACAATCTAAATAAGGTAAATTATCCAATTTGAACCGATAGTCTCAGTAGAAACTCGATTGCCACGTGTTTGCCTAACATGTTTGCCTTTATAAATAATTATAAATAATTTCGAAACTGATAACAACTTCTGATATAACTCATATTTGTAATTATCTATAATTACGATTCGTACAAGGTGACTCAAGGTTATTAAATACTCTTTCTTAATGACAGATTCTTCATTCAGAAATATTTTTCCTTAACAAAACGTCGATCGAACCATAAATAATGCTTCGAGTTGTAAACAACGTGTTGAAACAAATGTGTCGAGACACATTTTTTGCGAGTTAAACTTTTTTACTTGCAATATTTCAACTTAAAGTTTACAAAGATATACGATGCAACAATTCAAACGCTGTAATAAATGACGACCTCCTCATCGGAAAATATCAATTTTTGTTAAAACAAATAAACTTTGAATTGACCAATAGATATTCGTTATTAAGAAAATATTTGATTTATGATTTAATGATACACTTGTATACACGATTTTTCTTTCAATCGAATGTAGATTATATACACATATCGACTGCATTCACGTCAGTTGTTGATAATTGTGCATTTGATATCATAATGAATAATTATGATAATTAATAATTGCTTCTTGATAGTTATGACAGAGAATATTCCTAGAAATGTTTTATTTTAATATATTTTAGCTATTTTATTGGAAAACTACTAATCTTTTTATTTGTTCAAAACTTCGAGAACGAGAACTTAATGGATAAGCTCGCAAGTCAATTTTAATCGCGGAGGAAATGATTCTGTGTATGTGTGTCGTGGCAAAATGTCGCGAAGGGACGCGCGTGATGTTCGTTCATTAGCGAATATTCGGTACAGGATGTCGTGTCGTTTTCTAGACTGGCGTTAAACCACGAAACGCCTCCTTCGCAATTACGTCGTTGAGCTTCTCTCTTTTCAGGATCGGCATATGTGACCGATTAAGCTTTTTCAAATAAATGCTATTCCTCAGGAATAATTAAAAATACAATATTGCATATCTTAAGATGCCTAAAGATACGAATATATTAAATGTTTTCGTTAGAGACAAGATAATAAAAAATAAATATTAATAAATATTATATAAATATTAATAAAAATAAAAAAATATTAATAAATAATAAAGTGTCCCAAAATAGATATATTAAATTTTAAGTTATTAATTATTAATTTTAAATTTCAATTAAAGCATCTAAAATATTTGAGGATATAAATATGTTAATCTTTTTATTGTAAAACAAAAAATTACAAAAAACAACAGCATCACAAAAAACAGTGCTATAAAAAAAACAGTACTACAAAATAACAGTAATACAAATATTACTAAATAATAAAACTCTTTTCTATATTTGATAAAATATTAAATTATATCACGTATAATCATTTTTACCCACAGAGTAAGTGTAATGCGTATATTCCATACATAAATATTCGTTTACTTTTGCTATACAAGAATATATACCCTCTGAAAGTCATGCGCCAGTATTTGTCTAATATTCATAGCAAATCAATAACGACAGAGGGTAAAATGCTTCTTGAGCTGTGAAATACTCCTCTTGAGAAACAACCCTTCAAGTAGACCGTGTGGCCTAACGGATAAGGCGTCGGACTTCGGATCCGAAGATTGCAGGTTCGAGTCCTGTCACGGTCGGAGTTTCTTTTTTTTTTATAAATTCAGTTTCGCGATCATTGCTAAACAATCTATCGAGATAATCAGATAATTGCCGGCCAATTTAATTGTAATTTTTTTTAATTGTTCCTTTAATGCGCACATCGATATATTTCTCTTTTTAATAAGACAACCAGTCCACTTTGTCATTCATATAATTGGCTCTTTAGCTTTGTTATTAATATTTTAGCATTAGTATTTCGAATTATTATTTCACAAATGATCTTTCGCTTATATTTCTTCGCGGCAGTGACTCGTCAAATCTAAATAATGCACGATTAGGCACAATCATCTTTATTTATTATCCTTTTAATACACGCATTAGATTTTTACACGCATTGGCTTTTTATTTTTTAAACTAATTTTGTTGTTTCAATAATTATCTCTTTGATAAATATTCAACATTAATGTTTTAATATTTTAATATTATTGTTTTGAAATTTATTTCACAACTTCACCAGTTGTTATTTTTTTCATGTCAATGATACATTCAAGATTCGCAGTATCTGGATTCGCGATAATTATTTCGTCGATAGCTAATGATCAGTAACTGCTTGATAGAAATGTATCGGGCAAAGATTAACGCGCGAGATGTGTTACGTGCTACTGCTTGTAACGCTTGTTCATAATAGAATTGTGGGAACTAGTAATAATTCAAATGATCGCGAAACAGTGCGGAGTTAAAACGTATTTAATGTTTTTTTCCCGAGTATCAAGGACATTCGAAGTACACCTCTGGAAGCGATAATGGCGAATATTTAATTTTATCCACTATATCATATTAGCGATTAGCGACAGCGAAAAGCAAGAAATAATGTAATGCAAAGGATTTAGATGTAAAAAGGATTTAGATGAAAAATGAAAAATGACAAATATCAATTTACTTTTTATCAGCTTTGATATATACATAATTTGAAGTATAAGCAATTAAAGGAAAAATATGGTATTATTTAAATACAAATGCGCAGCTTATAGCGTGCAAGGTTTATTTGATAATGTTGTCATTAGCAAGAAGGCTGTGGGACCAAGAGGCAGCCAATGGTCCCGTCTGCGATCCACATTCGCAGATTTACGCTAGGTCACCATTCGTTTCTGCCGAGGTCCCATTTTCGCGAATTAATCTAATTAGATTCGAGGCTAGTCCCGTGAATTCTCGTTTATTGGCGACACGCGATAACGCTTCGTAGCGAAATTATGGGTTCAGACGACGGGAATGTCGACCCACTGTACGTCGAACTAACAACTAGTACTTTACGAATATTGCATCACACACACACACACACACACACACACACACACACACACACTCGACATTGTTAGATGAATTCGTGTAATTTCATTCGCGCTTCTCGGAGCCCCATTACGAACGAATCGTCGTACGACGTAGCGGTAAAAAGTAAAAATGAAAACGGAATTTTTACTTAAACGAAACGAAGTTCTTTCTTTTATAAGGACAGGAAATTTCTAATTTCCATTTCCAATTTGTTACAGTTTACGAGCAAGCGCGAAACCCAGCCCCGCCGACGAGCAGCAGATTAGCGCAGATTCAGCAGGAAGACTTCATCCGGAGCCGCAGTTCGACCACGCCGGCCTGATACTCGACGAAGCTTCCTGTCGAACGCGAAGGCTCGATATCTGACTTTTTTCTTAACCAAGGCAGCTTCACCCACACGCGCCGACATCGTAGAATGGTAGAAGGTGAACCCGACACAAAGCGCAATATCAGTACGTGCAGCTCTAACTTTTCCGAGAATTCCTCCCGATTGCTCGCGTCAGCTTTCTAACGATCCCGATTTCATGTTGCAGAGTGTGATGTAAAAGACGAGCGGCTAAACGGTTGCGGTTCTAAGGAACTCGAACTTGCCTGTAGGTATAAATTCCAAAAAAAAATCAACATCCCCTTTGCGTAATCGTAGAACCATAACCAGTCCACGATTTATCGCTTCTGATTACGTCTATCTTGTTACCAGGTATCGGATTAAAGGGCAAAGCACTCGATCCAGAGAAGGGAGCCTGTGTTCAAGCTGATTTCGAGAAGGCCATCGAACTAAGCGGTAAGTTCATTTCATTCGCGTACGTCGAAGCGCCTCTTATCATTGTTTCATTGTTTCGTTTTTTTACAGAATATGGCAAGTTTCATTACTTCCTCCTCGCGGTGTGCGGCTTCGTCAGCACCAGCGAGGAGATGGACGTGATTTCCATGTCCTTCATCCTGCCGAGTGCGCAATGTGACTTGAAGCTCGACACCCGAGCGAAAGGATGGCTCAACTCGATCATCTTCATCGGGATGATGGCCGGGGCGTACGCATGGGGCTCCATAGCGGACGCGGTCGGTCGTCGGAAGGTCCTGATCGCTATCTCGTTCATGAACGCCCTGTGCATCGTCCTCTCTAGCTTCAGCCAGTCGTACGAGTTCTTCATGTTATTCCGTTTCCTGAACGGTGCGGCGTAAGTATCCCAAGATCCAAAATCGCGTAAATCGCCACCGCAGCTGCGACGTAACCGGATCACATGTGCTCGCTCAGCAACGAAAAGGTTGAATAATTTAGTAACGTTCCAGGCTAGGAGGTAGCGGACCGGTCATCTGGTCGTACTTCGCTGAATTTCAGCCGAAGTCTAAACGCGGCTCCATGCTGTCTTTCATGGCGGCGTTCTGGACGTTGGGGAACCTCTTCGTGGCCGGTAAAGACAAAAAAGTTTTAATTCTTTCTGTAATAAGTGCACCCCTTGCGTGTGCACTAAACGTATTCGTGATCTCGATTTTTCATCGGCAGGCTTGGCATGGTTGATCATTCCTAGAAAGATGGGCTTCACGAGCGCAGCGTTCACGTACAATTCCTGGCGAATTTTTCTGTTAATCTGTGCTGTTCCGTCGTTCGTCGTGACAGGACTGCTTCTGCTGCTCCCCGAATCTCCCAAGTACCTCTTGTCCTCTGGAAAGAACGAAGAGGCGCTCGAAATCTTCCGCAAAATATATGTCATTAATACCGGCAAACCGCGTGACACCTATTCAGTAATTAGACTTTGACTACTTTAATCAACATTATGCAGGCGGAAGGATTAATTTTTAAGTTAATTTCGAAATATTTGCACAGGTAAAGGAATTGATCCTCGATGACTTTCAAGAATCAGTGAAGGCCAAAGTCGAGGAGAAGAGCAAGTGCAAGACTATGCTCAGTGACATCGTGGAGAACAGTAGACAGCTATTCGTAACGCCCATCCTTCGCTTCACGATAATATCGATCGTTATCAATTTCACCTTTCACATCGGTTACTATGGTCTGATGATGTGGTTCCCGGAGCTGTTCAACCGTTTCGATGAGTTTCATCGTGACCAACCGGGCGAGGTGGCCTCGATATGCAAGGTCACCGACTACGTCGTTAACAAGGGTTCGCATAGCAACAAGACCTTTTGCTCCGATAAAATCGGAGCATCCGTCTTCATGGAGTCCCTCATTACAGTGGCGTCTGCCATACCCGCCAATATCATCGCTGTTTTGGGAATGGATCGCCTTGGACGTAAATTCTTTCTAGGTACTTGCTTTAAAAAAATTATAAAGTCATCCTTCAATAATTTTCGCTTCTTTGATAACTATTCTAACCATCTCCTATATATATGCACCTTTTTGTAGTGTTCAGCACATTTTCATCCGGATTATGCTCGACTGGCTTATACTTCGTATATAACAAATATCAGAATTTAACCGTGTCGGCTATCTTCAGCGGAGCGATAAGTTGTGGCAATGCAGCTTTGGATTGTCTCATTACCGAGGTGTTCCCAACGCAGCTGCGTGCAACTGGGATAGCCATATCGATGGTCGCCGCTCGTCTTGGCGGTATAATTGGCAATATCGTCATAGCCCAGCTCCTAGACACGTATTGTCCAGCACCAACTTTCATAGTGGCTGCTCTTCTAATTGGTAAACGCGTCTTACATTATTTTTTGTTCCTTATTTTTTTATTCAACTTTTATTTTTAATTCCCTCACTCCATGTCTTTTATTTCGCAGGAGGAGGCTTGTTATGTTTATTCCTACCGAACACAACGCGCGAACCACTTTCTTGACCTCAGTGAAAATTCATCCCAGTTGGGCAACAATTTATAATCATTTATATTTTTCTGTCGAGTACACGAGCGTTGTTGAATTTTATTCATAAAGTGTTTCAACACTGAGTACGATACACGACGATTACATAATAGCATTGTAAGGAGAAATTTAAAGTTCGAAAACATTTTCATCTTGCAAGTAGGAAACTAGAATCTGTTTGTAATAATCCGTTATTATAGATGAAAACATAAAATATTGTTTAAGCAGAATGTTAGCGAAGATTAGCGAATATGACGAAACGAAAATACGAACGTAGCATCTAGTTTGATATATGATGCAACAATTAGGTACCTTAGTCAAATTTTATATATACATATCTTGATATTCGCAGTATTTAGATATGATAATTAAATGAAGTAATAGTGATATAATAAATATATTTTCCTATTCATTGATTCTCGATTGGACATCGAGACCAAATAAATTTGTTATCGCTTTATATTGCAAGATATAACTTGATATATCAATATAAAAAAAATTAAAAAAGCATAAAAGAAAATAACATATTCTTTGAAGCATACGTGCTTTTAATATTCTTTCCTAATTTTCTATATCTAATTCCTATACCGAATATAAATAGCAAAGTAGGATACTTAACGACCGTGCTGATAACGGATTTCGGAATAGGACCACAGTTGCCATCTCTCCGGTTTTCGGCCGGAGACTCCAATCTTTTGGAAGATCGAGAGTATCTCTAACTAACCACTCTAAATTTTTGATGACTTGAACTTATAGAGAGGAATGTACATACATACGTGCATGCTATTTGTTTTCTCCAAAAGTTCTCAAAAAGAATTCCCGATAAAAGATTATTTTTTAATTGATGTCTTTTTTAAAAAGAGAATTATGACAATAATGATTTCAAATATGTTAAATGTATTAATAAATGAACTGATCTCCGGCAGATAGGATTTCAAAGATGACAATCGTGGATAGGACTTAAATAAAAATACGAGTAGAATACCAAGTAATCTTGATATATTCATAATACATGTCCATATAAAGTACGAAATTACTCCCTCATCATTTTCTCCTTTTGCCTAGCAAGCTTTTTCTTGCTCAATTTCTTTTTCGATGGTTCTTCCTCTGTGGCTTTCGCAACAACGTCCTCTTTTTCCGTTAATATTACTTCAATGTGACAAGGTGAACTCATGTATGCTGTAAGAATCATAAGTCTTAACAATCTGTCTAAGCAATAATAATAACTATCAATGCATATTTTTAAAGAATCAAAATTTAGAATACAAAATTATGAATACTTATTATGAATACTATTATGAATACTTACGGTTTATACGACCATGAGCCCTGTATGTTCTTCTACGAAGGCAAGGTGCATGATTAACCTGAATATGCTCAATTACGAGGCGATCTACATCAAGTCCCTTGTAATCAGCATTACTTTCTGCATTTTTCAAAAGCTGCATCAAAAATTCTGCAGACTTCTTAGGCCAGCGACCTAAAATAGTTACAAAGCTGTTATAAATCTATTCAGATTACTTAATTAACTGCTATAAGTTAAATTATTTCATATTAAACTTTTCAAAAAAATAAATTATTTGATGATTACATTGTATCAATATGTTTTGATTATCAACATATAGTGCAATAAATTGATTTGGATTGCAATTCACATTCTGATCTATAAATGCTTTAAAGTACTTGATATTAACTGATCAAAATAAAAAATTCTATCAATCGATCAATTAAAAAATACTTTAAAATATTTGTAACATCAAGTAGACTACAATATTTTAGAAATATAGTATCTAGAAATATTCTAGAAATATTATATAATATTATATTATATAGAAATTATAAAGCTAACGTACCTTGCGTGGTGCCAAACTGTTTGGCCTGAGCGCACCTGCCGACGCCACCATTAAACCTACGGAAAGGAACACATTCCTTGTGTTCGATGACATTCTTTAGGTACTTTTGCGCCCTCCGCAGGGCCATATTTTTGATAGCGCGCGCTGTTTCATGAGTGTTCTGCAATACGGAAGACGATTCGATCGGACTCACATTCGTAAACATCTTGGGGAGGAAATATGTTTGAGGTTATACTTCTCTGATGAATGTATATTTACTTTGAAATGCACGCGAAGGTTGGAGCCGCGTGCTTTGCATGACTTGGTCTGATTGACCGGCTCGTGGGAGTAACGACCCATTTCGTCCTGAAATTACAGACAGATCTATCACAAATCCTCACCCAGATCTCCTGCGGTCGTGAACGTGACGGCCGACAAGTCCGACCTGCCAGCGTCATGCCGCGCTTCTGTCGCGATTTCGCAGCAGTTCTCGCGGAAGAACACGTGGACGCGACATTTTCCGCGTCCACGTTGTAATCGGTAGTCTCTTATTCGAGAAATTATCTCTCGTAGAACGGATACCTCAATGATGAGTTAGATGCGAGCGGATTTGAAAAGCATAACGGGGTCGACTTATACATACCTCTCCGCAACACGAGTTTAAAGGAAGAGTCGTCGGTTCACTAACACTGACTCCAACTTCCTGTAGATCCCACAGGAGTGCCAACTGAACATTTAGATGAAACCCTAGCCTATACCCAATTACAACCCTTGATTTTTAAACAATGCGCATGCGTGAGTTTATTTTACAATTACTATTTATTTATTTATTTCACGCCTTTTGGTTTTGAAAGAATCTATGAAAATTATATTGAATATATTATCTATTAAGGTTACAATTCAAAAAATTTATTTTTGAAAAAAGATTACTCGTTGATTGTTTCAAAACTTAAAGAATTGTTCCAAACATTTGTGATTGGTTCCTTGTTCATCACCGAAGACCCGAGTAAAATTGTTGTCAGAGAGAAAGGTAACCAATCATGTCAACTTTTTCCCTAGGGCGAAAACATGAAAAATGAAAATTTTTACTGTTAAAGATAATGGATAAATTTTTATTTTTCATGTTTCCACCCTAGGAAAAGTTTCATAATCGGTACTCTGATTTGCAGGTTTCATAACGCTTGCGATCATCGTTTGTTCTTGTTCTATTTGACAGCACATGAAATGATTCTGTAAGCGTGCGAGTATAGTGAGATGTGTTCTTTCCAATTTCTTTCAATTTGCGTGCGTTTATCATCGATCTTCTTAATCTTGCGGTCTAAATCAAGCTGATAAGTTAAAGCTACTGCAGAATCTGTCGAATCATTGATGAGCAGTGACACTCGCACTTATTAAAATAAAATAGATATATATTTGAAGTGTGATGAAGTGAGATAGAAAGTTTCAGTGCAGCTCAGTGCAGGAACAGAAAACTTTACATTGGGTTGAGATAATGGATATTTATCACTCTGTTATTCTTAATTTCTATCATCGTAATTGTTTACGATTAATTATTGTTCTTCTCATGTAGATACTACTAATTGTAAGTTCACACTCAAATGCGATTTTTTAAAATATTATTAATCTAATTGATCTAAATAATAACAATAATATAACCGAAAAGGTTCATCTAAAAATATACATTTAGATCAATCTTAATATATTAATAGCAATAAAAATTGAATAATTTTTATCAATATATGTATTCTTAATTTCCAATTTTGACATAATACAAAATTTAAATTTTTTCTTATATAATACACAAAATACTTTTGAATAACAAATCGAGATATAACTTGCATCAATCTTCTAAGTTATTTTAATCAGCAATTAATTCAAGCGATTAATTAGATTTATCAAAATGAAATTTCTAATTATATAATTTTGTTTTTAATCTTATTCTTTTCTTATATTTAAAATTACAAGAAAATTGTTATTGAAATTGTATAGTTTTGTTTAACAGTTATCGCTATATTATGATTCATTATTAATGCTTTATAATATTTTATAAATATTGTAACATTGATATACTTTACATGATATACTTTATACTTAGTCTATCTATGTTAACTTCATAACAGAGATAATACTTGATAAATTATCATCATTTTAATTGGAATTTGGAATTCAAAATCATTTTAGAAACATCATACAAGTTTCTAAATAATAATAATAGTAATAAATCCAATTTTTAATATTTTAAGATGTCAAATTACACTGACATTCCTCTCTCTGTGTTATATTAGGATTTTAATCTGAGAAATTATAATACTTCTTCATGTAATGGCTGAAAGTCATAAAATAATATTGTGCAAAGGATCATCTGAAAAGAATGATAGAACGGAGATATATATTAAAACATTGGAGTCAGCTGGTTATATTTGTGAATGTCTTCAAACATTACAATTTGAATTTGTGAATATCTCAAAACTACAAGCATGTCTGACAACAATTGATAAATATAGTGGTAACATATTATATTACTTTTAATTAAGTTGATTAATTAAGTATACTGCTTATTAAATTTACTATCAATACACATACACACATATATATATATAGGTATAATATTAACGAGTCCTCGTACGGTTGAAGCAATTACATTGGCAGTAAAAGAAGATGCAAATATCATGTGTTCTTGGCAACAGATGCCAGCGTACTGTATAGGACCTGCAACAGAATCTCTTGCGAAAAGTCAATTTAATTTACAACATTGTACAGGCAGTCAGTCTGGTAATGCAAAGCGATTGGCTGAAAAAATTATTCTCGATATAAAAAAGATTCAAAGCCGCTATTATATCCGTGCAGTGAAATAGCACGTGAAACTATACCTTGTATCATCACAGACAATGGAATTTCAATAGAAAAAATCATAGTTTATAGAACGTTGGAAAGTGAAACGCTTGAACAGGAATTACTAAAAATACTCGAGAAATCCCCTAACATATTTGTTTTCTTTAGTCCATCTACAGTAGAATATATTTCAGCAAAACTTATAAAAAGATTTTATAATGTAAAAGATATAAAAGCAGTAGCAATTGGACCTGTGACAAGAGATGCATTAATTAATTCTGGTTTTAATGTATATGCTACTGCAAATAAGCCTGAACCAACAGCTTTAATGCAGGCAATTATAGCTGCTGAATCTATGGAAAATATAAGCGAGAATATTTCATAAAAATACAATGCACTGATATAATTTGCCATAATTGTATCTATTCTGTTACTTTCATATCATACATATACTTATGTCATGCATATACTCTTTAATATGAAAACGTTTCGGAATTATGTTGTAATAAAAGGAATTTTCTTTTGTAATCTATATAAATCAACAAGTAATTATACTTGTAAATAATAATAAAATGTAATGTATATATAAATATTGTAGACTTATAAAAATAAGTATGTACATATAAATGTATATACAGCCTGAACAATTATAATTTTGAGAATTTGTATTTTTTTATGTTATATTTCTTCTATCTAAAAAGAATAATATAAAATGATTTTATTGGAAACTGCAGTTTTTTACGGATATAGATATTGTTAATGATTTTAAATGATTAAAAATACAATATTTATAAATAAAATGTTTAGAAATTTCAATGTTGCTTGAAATATATTTTTTAATATGTTTATAATGTATATGTAATATATACTTAACATATATATTTTATATAAATTATAAATATGTATTTATAAAAATATATTCATATATAACTTATAAATATTTTATACGCAATATTTATGAATTATATATAATATACGTAATCTCTTTCGCAGATTAGTCTATTATTTATATCACAAATATCAATAGAAATTTTTTGATATCAAGCAATTTTGTGTATTTTGTTAAATTTTTTAATATCTATTACGATTTACACCAAGAAGGCACGAGATATCTGAACCAACTATCGCGGACTGATTTGCATAGTAAGGCTGAGGAGGATTTCCACCGTTATTATATTTCATTTGAACTGCCGTTTCGTAATCAGGCGCCGGTCTATATGATGGTAATAACGCGCGCAAGCTATTTATATCAGTTGACGAAACAGATACAACAGGATACGGTGATGGTATCGAAAGATCATTGTAACTTGTCCACCGTGTATGTGTGTCCGACGTCCTGTTATCCGAGTTCACGGATATTGCTTGTTCACTAGAATCATTTGTATCATTATCCTGAAATGATATAATTACATAATATAATCTCTCACACGCGTATTTTAATATATAAATGAATACTGATTTACGCACACAGCAAGTAGGTCTTTCTAGCGGACGACGTTCTTGATACTGTATATAAAATAAATGTTGGGCTATACATAATCTCCATACGTATTTAGCATCGCGTGACTCGGTAAATATAAATTGTTTCGCATCTTCCAATTTATATTCTATCCTAAATGTTTTCTTTTGATTTATGACATTACTGATGTCTTTCCATCTACAAGATGTAAATTTATTTAATATATTGAATTATATATTGAAGTTTATTGTATTTTCAATATATCTATTCAAATTTTCGTTGACAATTTCTTTATAAGAGAAATAATCTAGAAAGATAATACAATTTTCTATATACTTAAAGTTGCATATATTATATAAAATAACCTGTAAAATTGTGTTGTTTGTGTATTAGGAGAAGTCACCATAATTCCATTGATGGAAATTCCAAGTATAACTTTATTATTACTGTTATCCTGTAAAGATATTCCATAATTATAACAATTAAAGTTATAAACATTAATCAACTTGCAGCATTCATACCTTAGCAGTAAATGTTTCAGTTCCATACCCTTCCAGCTGCATGACAATCGAGATATAAAGCTCTTCCGCAATAGCTTGTGTCATATTCATAAGATTCTTGTATTGACATATCGTTGCATGTAAGAGAGAGTCTTGCCCATTTGGATCTGTTTTGCCATCCTAAATATAGATATACCAAATATAGAGTTATACATCATTCACAATTAGAGCAATGGAGCTGTGCCAATTAATATTACATTTGGGAAGAAAGTGCATTGTTGAAGATGCTCGATCGTGTGTCTTTCCGGATTATAATTTCCAAACTCAGCTTGCATAGAATAGCTTGCCAAGATGGAAGCTTGCCTGGTATTGCAATGTATTTTGTTTTCTAGTACATCGTTCTTCAATTGAAGATAATAATGGTATCTGTGAAAAAGAAAAAATAATGTATAATAAAATTATAACATTCTTATATATTTCTAATATAATATATTTGTCAATAAATATTTAAAATTATATTTGGCTGAAGTGATATTTTTTATTAAGAACTTCTCATAGAGAAAATAGGAATAATTGATATATTTATATTAATATTTGATTAATATTAATATATTAATGTATGAATAATATTTGATATTAAAAAGGACATATACATATATATATCGCGCGCGTGTGTGTGTGTGTGTGTGT